TCTTTGTGCTTTGCCGATCTGTGTTCCTTCTCTTTGTTCTTTTTTTATGTTTTCAATTGTTCTGAATTTTTAAAGCTCTTCGTTTCTATGTTATAGAAATTTAATAAATTTTTGTAAATGCATCCAAAAAACTCTCGGAGAAATATAATTCAGGAACCAATATTTGAGTTAAAACTCAAAGATAACTAACATCCTCAAGCCTCTTTTGCATTTTTACGAGCCCTCAAGAGTTCTTCAAGAATTTCTGATTTTCTTTTCTCTTATAAGTGGATATGAAAAAAAAACCGCACATCGGATGTTGAGTTTCACGAAGAAAGGATATATTGCATTTTCAAGGACAGCAGCAACAAATATAACAGTTTGCTACCCTTTTTGGTAATTTTACGTTCAATCAGCTATTTCAGCCAACATGTTACCAAACACTTTCACTTCAACAGATCCAGCCTATTCAGTCTTTTCAGCCTTGAATCATAGAAAATGAGAAAAGAAATACCCACACATATATGTATATGAGTTTGGCTACAATGGGCGACATCATAAAGTGGGCTACAATTAAGTATATATGAATCTCAATCCAATTGGGTAAGTTGAAACAAAAACAGGTTTCTACAAACTTCTGCTTCCACCATCGAGACCGAGACACAAGATTTTTATGCTTTACCCGATTTTAATGCATGGTTCCCACAAAGGCACATTAGTCATGCCACCTCCTTAGGAATGACATGTCACTCTCACCGTGAATCACACACTTGTAGATCGTGTAGATAACCTACTAGCTATAGATTGATAAATGTATAGCCCTTTACTCTTGTAATAAAACATATAAGATATTTAATATTTTCTCTCTATCTTTTCTCTATGACCTCTATAGAATACTACCATGACTCGGAAACTATCATTTAATCCTCTTATTGAAACGCTTGAATAATCTAGTAGACCATCCTATTCATTCAAAAACAAACCTTGATAAACAAAATGGCTTCGAAAACAACTTCAAAGAAGTAGCATTTGTCACCTCCACTCAGAACAAGGAGGATTTGACTCAAGTTACGAACACTTCAAAGCTGAAAAGGCATATTACGATTTGAGGTTGAGGATCCGAGAGAACTCGACTGAATTAAAGGAGCATCTCGAAAAAACTATTGTCCCTCTTGTTAAAGAGTCTTTAGAATATCCTCTTGCACCAAACATCGGCTCTCATGCCGATTTCCCTTCCCCTCTAGGTTGTGTTGCTATAACCCTCAGCCAAAAATCGTCCACCACATCCTCTCCATTCGAAGGGCCAAGCTGTCAATAGCAACACCGAGGGGATAGAAGGTGTGGACACCCCTAAGAAGAATGCCATGATGAACCGGTTGAATCACACAAGAGGGGGGTTAATTGTGTGTGCGTAGAACTACGACAGTTTTTCGCCGATTTCTAGTGCGGGACAAAGGGAAAACAAAAATTAAATGACACAAATATTTAATGAGGAAAAATCCCTTGGCTCAATAGGGATTAAAAAATCTCAACCGTCCTCGAAGGAATTTCAAAAACTCTTCACTAAAAGCTTTTAAACATGTTACAAGATAAACTCTTCTAGTTTACCCTTGAGTCACCTCAACTCTAACTTCTCTAGGTAGAGTTCTCACTATCTTACCTTGTGGATAAGGTGTCTCTCAGCTTTACAACAAAGCTCTCACTTCACACCCCAACCCTCAGAGGAAAGCATTGTCAAATATTCATCTTAAACCCTAATACAATAGAAGATATTGAATTACAAAGGATAGAACTGATAATGGAACTGTCACAGGTACTCGGTCTTCTATGGCATGCTTGTATAACTCTCCTTATTTGAGTATTTTCTTCTCGGTTCAAGCACAGCCATCTCCATGCACGAGCCTAGTCATATATAGGTATGTCTAAGAGCTTCCAAGACTTTATGACATTTAAAAAAAGCTTTCCTTGTTGACCAAACTCTCCTTTGTTGTAACTTTCTCTTTGAGAATGGATTCTTTACTTTGAGCTCGATCTTCTTAAATGTGCAAGATCAGGACTTGATGTATTCTCTTTAATAGCTCGGATCTCCATATATATTTCGGTCCTCTTGCATGGAAATTATTCAAAAATGTTTCCTTATAGGTATTAAAAGATATTCTTTTTATTTGTTGAAAGGAAATCATTTTTCTTAAGGAAACTTTCCTTGTGTGAGAAGATGCACGAAAATCAAATTTGAATTTTGAATAACACCTTTTATTTTGGAAACTTGCTTTGTAGAAAGATCTCTTAATTAATGCATTTGATTTAAATAACTTTCCTTTAAAGAAAAAATATTTTCTTTGTATGATCATTGATTATTTCCTTACTAAAAAATTCTCTTTAATTTAGCAAGACAAAACCGAACTTGAATACTTGAATGGAAAGAAAAGATTTATTTAAGTAAGTCAATATATTCAATCTTGGATCCGCCGAGCAATTCTAGGTTCATGTCTATGGTGTGTTCCAAAGCACGACTTAACTTCCTTTCCTGAAATCACTTATAGACCAAAAGTAACATTTGTTGTTTGTCATCAACAAAACATTATGTTTCAACAGCCTCATTGTCCTTATAGGATACAAGGTGTTAATGGTCAAGCTCATGTACTCATGTATTTCTAAAACCGTTTGAGTCATTTCCTCAGCCATTAGCCATTTGAGCGATAAACGTGAAGCCCACAAGCTCAGCAAAATTAATGAAGTGGTCAACATTCCTCAACCAATTCGTATTGAAAACAATCCCTCTGATACCCTCTATCAAAGGCTGAAAAATAGTACTCGACAAAAGCGTTACCAGCTGCATAAACATTATCAACGGTTTGAAACTATGGAAATGGCTAAAACCAATAAGTAGCACTTTTGCCTACACACAAAAAAACTGGTCATGAATCACTGTGTGAATATTTTGCATCGCCTAAGTTCAAGGTAAGGAACCTAATCAAAACACTCAAGGTAGAAATAACCGACCTTGATCCCATTTGACTGTAGAAATCAAGTGTCACGAACTCAGGAAATAGTAAACTTGTGCGAGATCCACATATTTCTAGTACGAAGACAAGAAATTGTGGGTCAAAATAAACTTTTATATTCAAATAAAGCTTTGAATGATGATTTTACTTTGTAATGAATGTTGGTTTTTCTTCCGGAAGTTCACTCACTTGATGTACAAAAAATATATTCATGATCGCTTGTTGATAAGATTGTAATTATGTTGTTTATATGATTAGATCCACACTATCATAACATAGTTGATTTTAGAAGCTGTATGATTTACTTCTTAGCTAGTGGAAGCATATACAAAAGATGTACACCACGAAAGGACTGAAGTTTAACAATATTAAATATTCGAGAGAATCAAACTCATGGAGAGGAATATTGGGAAGATATAAACACATTCCAAACAGGATAAGATAAAAAAATCTCAATTTTCATGATTGAGTTTGTCATGTCTACCTATGAAGGAATCTTTGTCAAAATTGGCAAATGGTTCATGAAATTTAAATTCTTGTTTCCTAACAAATGCATAAAATAGTATTCCCTTGTATGATTAAAGTTGTCTTATGGTTATGGTTTATAATTACACTTATGTTATGGTTATTGTTCTTAAAGGCTAATGCATAATTGAGGTTCTAGTTGCACTGTTGTAATGAAGACTGAAACAAGTATACAAGATCATTTGATTTTTTATGATTACAAGTGCATTTTATGTGGAAAGGGATCGCATTCTATATTCACAAGCTTACGGTTACTCTGCCAAATTTTCTACTCGATCTATACTTAGCAACTTTTCAGTTTTCCCTTGCTTTTACAACCCCCGGTTCAATAAAGCCATCACATTCTTTTCATAATTCACATTCTTTAACAGACATGCTCTGATACCAATTATAGGATCCCATGTATCCGATCAATCCTAGAATAAGAAATAAATGTGGAATATATTCAATCCCAGAGGATAGAGAAGAATAAGGTCATATATTTGATACAATGGCTCTTATGTATACAAAAAAAATTGAACTCCTGAAGTTTTTTGAACCCAAAGTTTTTCCTAAAATTCAGATCACATGGTTATTTTTATACTTATTCACTCGGGACAATTTTTGTAAAATAAATCCTTACCATTATTATTCTAATCAATTTTATTCAAATATTTCTTTACGAATTATTATGATTTAAAAACTCAGACATTCTCAATTAAATAAATTTGGAGTTTAGTTTTTATTATTATTACTCCAGAACTATTTTTGGATAAAATAATTGAAAAATGTAAAAACATTAACTGTGAGATCTAAACTTTAACACTTGAATCTCAATTTTATCGCTCGAATCTAACCAAGAAATTTCGGATAAATTATAAAAAAATAAGATTTTTTATATTTTTTGTAAACAATGAAAAACGAATGAAAAAGTTGTTAAGCTTCAAAAAAGAAAAGATCTTTAATTTAGAGTGAGGGAAATCATTTTCTAAAACTTACACTTTTTGGAATGGAAACATACCCTTATTTGTCAAACACCCTACTTTCAAAATATTAATTAAACAATCCAGTAAATCATATGGCTTAAAAATATAATTTGTACCGGTCCAAGTGCCCTGGCTCCACACCTATAAACCTCTATAGTAACTTCTACAACTATAGACAAACTTCAATCTTATTTTTTCTTATTATTACACAATTCGATGTGCGAAATCAAAAATTACGTGTTTGATGGAAAAGTTGAAAGATATGCATAATGATAGGGCCATCAAACGAGCTCTATGTTGTCATGTTTAAGTTATACGGATTACGGAGTATATCAAATTCATTATAGCTAGTGATGGACCCAGGCCGGTCCGGTTCCGGGCCTGGGTAGGATTTTTTTGCAATTACTTGGGTCCGGGTCGGGCCGGGCCGGGCCCGGTTCCATGTTTTATTTTATTTTTTTTTGCCTTTCTTGTTATCCCCCGACCCCCCCCCCCTCACCCCCTACTCCCAAACCTCCCCAAAACACCCAGCCCTACCCTAGGAAAAGAAAAAAATTAAAAAACAAAAAAAAATTGAACCGGGCCCGGATCGAACCACCCGGGCCGGTTTAACAAAAGTTGGGCCCGAGCCCGGCCCGCCCGCCCTGCCCAAACGGGCTAAAAGCCCGGAACCGGCCAACCGGTCCCGGTCCGGGCCCGCACAGTAGCGGGCCGGGCCGGTTCCAGGCCAGGCCGGCCTGGTTTAGTCCATCCCTAATTATAGCATAAGGTATCATATTAAAATTACTTGCATTCCTTACGACCTTACTCAAGTAACTCAACTAGAAGCATTTAGAATTACTTCTCATATCACAAACACGCACGTTTTTTTGTTCCATTCTTGCTAGTGAAGTGGGAATCGTACTCCTATTCCAAAAAGAACTCTTTGTTCGGCTTGATGTTTGATTAATGAAGAAGAAATAAATGCTCACTGAAATATAAAAATAGATATTAATAATTTAAATTTATGAATTTAGAATGTTTCCTGCACAACAAAAAATGTATTTGAATAGGATAAGAAATTGATACCCAACCCGCACGGGTAGCTCAGTTGGTTCAGTGGTGGGAAATTTGGACCAAGTGACCAAGGTTCGAAACCCGCAGCGGCCGTGTTGAGGTCACAGAACCTGAAATAAGGCCGGGCCTTTGGTGCGCACGGGAAAAAGGCCTACCATCATTGGGTCGACTGAGTCACCGTGATTAACATCCTCCCAAAAATCCTGTCGGGTCGGGGTATGGGGGGCTCCTGGGATGGGAGATTCCACCTTTTTGGACCAAGAAATTGATACCCAAAACCATATATTAAGAGAGAGAGAGAGAGAGTTCAGTTAACTACCAATAATGAAGTTTTTTTCAGGACAGGAATGAAGTACGTATAACAGTAGAAATGTTGAAACTTGTACACTGCTATCAGACTTTTAAGCATCCCAGTTGAAACTTGCGAATCTTCATACTTCCATCAATTGCAAGTGCCAACAGATGATGCTCTTCTACATACCAGAGTTCAGACATTGTGGCCTATATGGATTCAAATTAACAATTAAATAAGTAAACAAATATTAATAACCTGATAAATGGTATGAACGGCATGCAACTTCAACTTTCTTGAGGAAGAGATGAATACTTATGTCCAATTTTAGGAAAAGAGAAATTGACACCTTTAATCCCTACACATTTTACACAAATAATTTGTTTTGAAAAGTTCTGAATAACAATTCCTACTTGTTACTGTTTCACAAAATGAACCGCTACTTAATTGTGTTAACTTTCAATTGTACAGTACCTCTCACATTCATTTCAAATTAAAAGAGGTATCAAATTATAAATCATTTGACTGAATTAAAAAAGCATATATTTTGTGTTTTTATTTATTAGTATTATTTAATATAGTATTGCTTAAACTACTTTGAAATTTCTATTATAATAAAAAAAGATTGAATACGATTAAAACAAAAAATAAGAATTCGATGAGTATTTGTTCATACTTCATACTATGTTTGTACTACATTTTATGAAAAATATTTAATACTACCTCCGTTCTTAAATAAATGCAACACTTTGTCTTTTACACTATTCACATGTTCTACTTTGACTACGTTTTATTTATTAATGTAATAATATTATTTTATGAAAAAAATATTGTTAAACTCGTCTCATTGTAAATTTTCATAATCTAATTTTTTGAATTTTTTACTAATACAAAATCATTTATATTAATGGTAAAAGTTGTGTCTCGACAAGTGTGAAATGTTGACTGTTGCATTTATTTAAGAACGGAGGAAGTATTAAATTAAATTCATAGTTGAAATAAATAAGTTTAGGATCAATATGGTATTGTTAATACTTATATACGTTTTCTCTTCATTGAACATGCAAAATTAAATTGACGGAAATGTTGCCAATCGTTAGCTTCATGTTCATTTTTTTTGGAATGGTTAATGAGTTTGGATTCCATTGTGAGTTCTTGCAATAAAGATTATATTGTTAGATGTGTAAAAGTATGAATTAGTTGTCAATTTCACCCAACATAAAACACATTTAATTTAACCTTAAAAGCATATGACAACTTTCTTGAAGACAAGTTGCACACACTTTTCAGCTATCCAATTCTGGAAAAACATGTTTTAATCTTAAAAACATACTATATCCGTCCTATATCAAGATTGCAAGTGCAATTACAATGGTTAACTAATGGTAAAATAAACTCTTCCCTGATAAAACATAAATTGTTTTTAATAATTAAATTTACATATTCAGAAGCAGCGCTAGAAGTTCTATCACAAAAATAAATTCAAAAACAACTAAAACTTGTTATATGAAATTAAATACTAAAATACAGTCAAGTTCACTGAACCAATAGTGTATGGGAACTGAAATTTGGACAGACAGAGAGTATTATATACAAAGAGAGGGACAAATGCATTAGTCATGTGAGGATTTATATGAACAATACCTGAAGTCCACGGATTTCTCTGTTTAATTTAGTTACAAGTATCTTAAAAAACTCAAGCACGGATGAATTCTTTGCTTCCTGCAGAGTAGATTGCTAATAAAGTTTATAAAGTTAAAAAGGAAGGAAAAAGGCTTGGTAATGATTAAAATGGCCGCACAGTTCAGATTAGGTCTGCTGAAAATAATAGCAATACAAACTAGACAACCTAACTTTTCATCCTTTAAACAAATGTGAAGTCACTAAAAATTAGGCCCTCTTACTGCCACAAAATCGGGAATTGCTGGCAACTACAAAGCATCATTTCGTCATGGATTAATGAGTTTACACAACACATTGTATCTTACGTGATTGAGATAAAGCGGCTAGTTGGTAACTTGTTCATCATATTAGCCTCACCCAGAGGTAAAATCAGTTTCATGTTGTGGATAACTTACCTCAGGAAAAGTGGGAGGACCCAAAAGCCTTGCAAATGATGTGTGAAGAATAACAGCATCATACTGTTTCATTATTTGAGCATGTAAGTTCCATGTGCAATCATTTAAAAAAAATACATGATTTGGCTATGATACCATCTACGACCTGATGTTCCATCTCAAAAGGTTAACATTATATGAAGAGTTATGGATTTTACATAGTGATTTCTTATGTTATACGGTTATACCAATCCTATGTGAGACAAGTACTTCAATAGTTTCTCATTACTAGTATTAGCATATTCTATTTTAGTTTTTTTTTTTTGAAACCATTCTATTTTAGTTAATATTCATTATTTAATTAATTTATATTGTATATGTTAGAACCTCGTTGCTTGCTTACCAAGACTGTTGAGACTAGTATAAGGGTCTTTCTTTGTAAATATCATTAGAAACCTACTAACCTTGGAGCTATTTCTTGCACCTTTTTGGCAAAGCCAAGTGCGTAAGACCCCCCTTCTCAGTTCCCCCGCCCCGTCAAGATCAAGAAGAAACCGTACTCAATGTACGATGTCTCATGCATGTTTAATCAGGTTTGCCATATTGTGTTATCTAAAGTCATTTATGGATAAAGCGTATAAAGTTAACATCTATATAAAGTAATAGTGAAATAAATGTTGAATGTGTACACTTACAAATTGCTTCTCTGGTGCATGTGGAAGAGCATTTCTCAGCCTGTCACGTATAATTACAGGATCAGTACCAGAGATAACCTGCAACAAAATGGTACATTCAGAGGGATCACACACACACACACACACACATCTTTAAGTACATTTCTTTGGTGAACAATTTAAAGATATGTTGTCATCTTTACAACATACCTTTGCAATTGATGTGCAGTACCCTAAAATAAACATTTCGCAAGTAGCAGTGGTATTTGCCTCCCAAGAATTTAAATTTGCAACTTTTATTATTTATGAGAATTAGCACTCGGGAAGAGAAAAAGTTCTTGAAATGACCTGCCAGCACCCTACAAGCACGCCAGTTGAGGTCAGAATCACTCTGTCTAGAACAACGTGTAATGGACATAAGCCCTCTGCAAGAGTTTTAACAGCATCTGCTTCAGCTTCAATCTGCAAAATGGTACACAAAAGATCGGCACAGTACTTCAAGACAACATGGTAAAGAGATAAAGGTAGTAAATAGATCGGATCCAAAAGAATATCTACCTCCGCTTCTGTGGCAGGGACCGGCCTAGCATGATGTGAGGCATGAAACATGCTACAGTGGTATCTACTAGAGTTCTGAAACCAAATTGCTAAGCCAAAACCAGATAAGCATCACAGTATGCAAATAAGAGTGGAACTAAAGCAGCAGTTTTGACTATTTATAAAGGCTCAATCCCTCTATATTTCTATCTCTTCATGCATGTGTATGTATCAGAAAGGGACGCATACCGATAGATAGTTTAGGTACACAATCATTGGTGATGAATGACTTAAGTGGATACTATTTATGGAGGCCTGGAATTACTCTCATATTTAGCTTTACCTGAGTTGGACGTAAAAAAGCTGTGATTGATTATTATTTATGCCTGTTGGTTGACTTTTGGGTATAGCTTTTAGTTTTTTTTGTAATATAGCTACACTTCTACTTGAGGCATATATTCATTCACTTATCCCATGTAACCTTTTCATTTGGATAGTTATTGAATGAAAGGAACACTTCAATTACTTCTCTGAAAGGACAAGTCTGCTATTTGAGGTTTCCATCTAAGCATTTTTACTTCATTATTTCTGCAAGGTCCTTCCATTTTTCCTAATTCATCCATGCACGTGGAAAGAAGGTCACACAACTTCAGTGTTCCTACGCTTTGCAAAAAAACATTCAAGTGAAGTTCTTGATAAACGTGAAGTTAGGTAGCCCATATCAGCAAAAAGAAGCCGTTCATTAGTCTTTTACTGTAGGAAAAAGCTTGGCGTTGACCTTATATTAATAAGAAGTAACACCAAAGTCCAAAGATAAAAAAACACAAGTCAGTGTCACACCATTGATTTTATTCGAAAAAATAACATTTCTTATTTCATTTGGTTTCAACTTGTACTACCAAAGGCCTTCCCCCAAACCCCACCAGTTCCATGGTTCACCCTCAGTTCTCTTCTGTTCTTCTCAAATTTCCTCTTTATTTATACCCCAAAAGTTACAGTACTTTAGACTATAACATAATGCTCATTTCAGCTGAGATTAAATGTGATATTTCTTTTACAAATAGCATGTTGATATGATGCTCATCTCTGTGGTAAATATTGTTGAATCTGACCAAGCATAGTCACTTGCATGTAAATAATGAAAAATACTCTAGGGTATGTCAAAATGCTCTTGACTACATCTTAATGAAATACAACTGTATAGGAAGCATAAAGCTCTGTTATAGTCTTCACTTATTTCTGCTTTTTGAAATTGAAAAGTTACATTGCAGCAAAGTCATCCAACAGCATCAGCAATAACTTTAAAAAAACTTAGGAAAACTGTCAAATATGTACTCCTAGTATATCCAAAATGGCAATTAATCTCTCATACTTCAAAACTATTCAATCAAATCCTCGAAGTTGTAAAAAATACCCAAATAAGGTATTTAGGCGGTTGCCAACCCGTTTCAAGGTTACCACATCTCTGAATACACACATGGCACTACCCACCTCTAACCCATCTCATTTTTATACTTGTCACGGCGGTAAGGCAAGTCGCGGCGCCAGCCGACCGCCATATCGCCTAGGCAACAATTAGGCGACTAGTCACACATTGTATAAAACATTATATTTCATATATATAATTATATATATTTACATATAACATTGTATTTAACTGTATTTAATTTGTAATTTATTATATGTTATATACTACGTATGATATATTAATAATTAAATTGTATATATTACCTAGAATTGATACCAACAATTAATAAATGAAAAAAGGTTTATGTATGTGTGTGTATATAAAAAAATTAAAAAATCATTCGGCTATGACTACAACTTAATTAATTAAACTACTTTAGTGGGTATACTCTTTAGTGCGTCATTGGACATAAAACATCATTTTCATTTACCCCAGTGCCGAAAAGGCTCCCACCTACGATGGGGTAAGGGGGGTCGGATGTACGCAGTCTTACCCCTGTACTAAAGCAGGGAGAGACTGTTTCCGGATGACCCATAGTGAAAATCCCGTCCAAAATTGCATGGACTGACTGCTGCTTCATAACAAAGAAGCGCAGACAGTTTAGTGAGCCATTTTGCTTTATTCCATCATAATCTCAAGCCAAAAAATAATGAATCTTTGACTCCATTGCAAATGATGGAAGCATTGGACATAAAACATACGGAGTATTAATATACTGGAATATAAGAAGTCGGATAGAGACATGAAGGCTAAGTGAATAACCGATAAAATAAAAAGCTGGAAAAGAAGCACACGTTATCTTCAACCTTGCAACGCTGGAACGTAGCAACTGCAGGTCATCTTCAACCTTGTGACGTAAGAACGCAGAAACTGCAGGTCCTCTTCAACCTTGCGACAGACGCACACCAGCAGAGAAGTAGCGACTAGCGATGCTTCGTGCTTGGGGTTTGTCAATTGGCCTTGAAGATTGAGAGTCGATGATTGGCCTTGAAGATTGAGACTTTCAGAAGGCTTCGGTTCCTAAATTACTACTTTCTAAATCGTATTTTGGGCTGGGCTTCTAAAAACGAATTTATTGAGATTCTAATCTCCCCTGGCGTGCGCCTGGACTGCGCCTGGACGACGACAGGAGTGACTTATCTTCTTCTGGCGAGTCGATCTCCCAAGTCGACCCTTCTTCATCGCCAGGATGCCAAGTCGGCGCCTAGGCGACGCCTAGGCGACGCCGTGACAAGTAAAATTTTTACTTCACCCGCTGTTCAAACCTGCATATTCCCTAATAGAATCTCAGAACAAGTAAACAAATGAAAAACCAAGCTAAGAATAGTAAATCTGAAGAATGAGCCATTAAATTTTAGGGAGGTTTTATGTTTCCAAACCAAATCCCAATAACAGACCAACAAGCATATATGCTAAGAATATACAACTAAATGGGGTGTATCCGTGTATGTCTTTTATATATATTCAACTAAAAACAGAACAAGTAGCTGAAAGCTTTGAGTCATTTACCTATTAAATTTGTACTCATTGACCCTCACACAGCGGTGACGAGTAAGGTTTGGAAGGCAAGATGTTGGATGAAAAAAAGGCGGAGAGGACGTCAGAAGCTCGGAGTTAAGGACAGGTGGTGCATTCTTGATGTTGGCAGCGACGAGGAAGATCCCAGAGAAACGAGGGCAGAGTTTGAGCAAGAAGCTCTGACCCGAGGAGCCTGACAAGGTTGACATGGGCTGGAGGTAAAGCCACACCACCTGTTTCACGAGGTGGTTTGGATTACACTACGGCTGTTAACGAGCCAAGCCAAGCCCGAGAACCCAGAACTCGAGTTCGGCTCGATTCGGTAATAGTGGTGTTCGGGTTTGCGCTCAAAGCTCGGCGAACTCTACAAATGAAACTCGTGTTCAACTTGATAGGCGTTCGATGTTCAAATCAAGCGCTCGATAACCTCGATAAATATGTTCGAATTTAAAATTTTAGGTGATGCTCTTTAATAAGACTGCGCTTGAATTATTCAACAAGTACTCGGTTCGTTAATAATCATATTTAAATTTACAGAATCATACAAATTACACTTAATCCATGGTGTTCTATAGGCTCGAGCTCGAACCGAGCCAAATATACTATGCTTGACCTTGACTCGATTAATTATGCGAACTTAAAAGTCAGCTTGTGTTTGAGTTTGAAGCTCGTTAAGCTCGGCTCGTTAGGTTCAAGATCGAGCTCAAACTCGAATAGTTCATAAAAAGCTCAATTCATTAACAGCCCTAGATTGCACTTAAAGGCTTTGAGGTCCTGGCGGCATCACCCTTGGTGCATTCATGGCGGAGGTGGGGGACATGATGTCTTTTAGGGAGATGTATTGTACAGGCTTGGCCGAGAAGAGCTTGAAACCTTCTACGTTGTACGATAATGCAGAAGATGTCGCCAACAGTCATGATGATGTGGGGGGGAGGAAGTAGAAGTGAACCCACGATTGTGGTGGAGGCTAAGCTTGCTAAAGAGAAGAAGAACGGTAATTCCCAGCAAGGTAAGAGGCGACCGATTTCGTTGATTTGTGAGATTTGGTGTATGGTTAAGGGACGGCTTCATTTTTCAATATATGAAAAAATGAAAAGAGTGCCACATGGAATTAGAAGCAAAAAAGTGCATCTAGGATCTCATGTCAATGGTGAGTGGAAATCTTGTAGGTGACCATCTAAATTACTGAACTAGGTGTTTCTTACCGTTTGAAGGGTTTGATTGGATGATTTTAGAGTAAGAGTTAATTTCCATTTTTGGTATAGTATGGGGCTTATTTGAAGTTTCCGACCTGAATCATTTTAAAAGGAAACCATGGTAAATGCCTCAAATGCTTATGCATTCTTACTTTAAAAACACGAGCACAAACATATATATAAGTCATGCCTTATAGAAATCTATCCAAATCAATCAAAATCTATAAAATTCTATGAAATAGAATTCCATAACATTCCAATATAATTCATTAAAATCCATGGAATTCTGTGTTGTTGAATCTATGGAATTCCATTAAAATTCCATAAGACCTACAATCCTTACAAATCTTTTAAAATCTACTTTCAAGACACCTCCCTAAATGAGGCAACTAGTGGAGCTTGTCATCCTTCATTGTCGTGACATTCTAAATACAAGGATTCACCAACAATTTAATGGTATATTATGTTATGAACAATGATGAAAAGTTAATAATAGTATAGGGACTAGTTATGTACTGTGTATTTGAACAAAGAGAACTCATAGCGACCATAGAATTTTGAGATAAAGGTGATTTGAAAAGGTAGCATACCCTTGTCAAAGTATGGTGAGAAAATGGTCCTTACTGCCTCCCTAAGTAACAAAACCAAACAAATTTATTAATATTCAAAAAGACATACCAAGTTCAGGGGGTGGGGGCAAGCCTAATAGCATACTGAGGGTGTTTTGCTTGGACTTATTTAGTCCCAGATCTGATCGGATTGGACTTTCACAGTTGTAAAACTAAATACAAAGAGAGTTAGAGACCAGACATCTAGTTCAGACCAGACTACACGAGACATAAACAGACCAAACCAGAAAATTGCAGTATAAGTAGAAAAAACATCCTAAACCTAAAAAGCATTTGATGTTTTTTAATCATGAGCTAGATAGTAGATACGCAATGATCGGTAGATAACCATTATCTTAAATACCCCTTATGTTTTTTAACAAAGTGGTATTGCTATGTGATAGTCTATGAAGCACATAAACTCTAGGCAAGTAATGTTTCCCCACTCAATAACAGTTAGGAAACTTTACCGACAATGTTTTCTATATGAAATGATATTTCCGTATCTATAATTCATTGATCTTATATTTAGACTAAGCTTAGCATTTGGAATTGCACAATGAGCATAAGCCTTAGGAGATATGACTCCTCAATGATTTTATGAAGAAAGAAGCAATGTCCATAACCAAATATCCGAGCACAACTGGGCCTTGGGTAGTACACTACTGAGGTGTAAGCCTCATTGGTACAACAATGGGGCTTAGTTGAGGCTTAAGTAATAATATTATACCATACCATTGTACCAGATTTTAAATGTTCCCATTGGCCCCTATAATCTTGTTTATGTGATGATCCAGTTTAAAAGAACGTTTCGGAAACGTTTCTGCAACCCAGTCGGCCCAAAAGCACAATACGCCAGAAACGTTTCCCAGCGTTTCCTAGAGTTTCCTGTTTCCGAAACATTTCCAGGACGGAAACTTGAAGAAGAATGGCATTTTCGTGCTTCCTAACCCATTGCGGTAATTGGCAAAACTTTTCTTGTGCCTTCCTTTCCCCTAGAACATGTGTAAAATGTTCCCATTGACCCCTTTAATCTTGTTTATGTGAGCAAATTAATGATAAATCTCAATTGCTCCATCACCTTTTCTCTAAGTTCAAACACTTTGCTGAACCACAACATGGCAAAGGCTCTTGGCGTTGGGCATGACACACCAGGGAACCAAAACTGGTTGTCTGTATGTCCATCACTCCACTCACTCCATTAGGCCACCCGACCCTCTCTAAGCTTCAAATAATGGTTCCATGCTTCCCTGTTGTTCTCCTACTCGATTATCCATCTTTTTAACAAATTATTTCATCTCCCTCATCGCATGTTTGCAAGTGCCTGTTTTGTTCATAACATAGTTCTTGGCGGTGGCTTTTAGATGCATCCTCCTTGGGTATGCTTGTATACAAAAGGGCTATTGTTGTTATTCTCAGAACATAAGCATCATTTCATTCCTCCTAATGTCAAGTCAAATCTTTATTTTCAGTCATAACCAACTGATAACCACAACATCTCAGAAATCTTACATGTCCCACACCTGAATCATGTTTTGAGTCCTCCTACTGCACATGAACAAAACCACCTGAGTTACACCAAGCCATCCAACTACGTCTGAAATGAGTCATCTACTTCTACCATAGCCAGACCGCCATTTATAGGTTTATTAGTGTTGTCCCTCAATAGAGACGATTGAGTCTCAAACTGAGTTAAATGGTTTGCAAACATCATCCTCTTTGATTGGTCCACAGCAACTTGAGATTGAGTCTACTGAAGAAGTGATGAGCACATTTCAACTAGAAAAGGTATATGTTAATCATCTGCCAGTATAAACTTTTTAAAGCTATAATTGTGTTTCACCTCTTATGCTCCTTTCGTTTCACAATTGTCTTCCATGGCTATTTTAAAAAAACAACCTATAAGGCCTTTTCGAATCTGGGGTTGTACAAGGCAATGTTGCTTGGGATTGCAGCATATGATAGAGACTCGACTATTAATACTAATAATAGATTTGGCCAAGTTTATTCTAGAAGAAAGTAGTAGTTAGTCATTATTAGTGTTGTCCGTTCTTAATAATAACTACCTTCAGCTGTGACTGAAAGGATATAAATAGAATAAACTTAGGCGGGAGGGGCAGGCTGTTTTGATGCTTTGGCTTTGGGACTGGGAAGATTAGAGAATAGTTCTCTTCTCTTTGGGACTGGAATGTACGGTATACATCCATTAATGAAATTTACTGTTTTCTGAAGCTAGCTTTACTGTTCATTCCTCTGGTATTACTGCGCTACTCTATCAGTGGTATCAGAGCACGTATGATCGCTGAATGATCTTAACTCGTGCGAAAATGGAAGGGAGACTGACAGAGATGGAACGGAATCAAAGGGAGATGCAATTGAACATGGAGATGAATCAAAGGGAGTACCAAGCTAATACTGAAAGGAATCAACGTGATATGCACGCAATGATGTCAGCGATGCAAGCCAGCATCACCGATACTCAGAGGAGAATGTCAGATCGATCGCGTAGCCAATCACATCACTCTAGTACATCGCATCGTACTTCTCACCGCAGACATGCGAGGCGAACGGGAGGTATTGAAGACTCGGGTACTAATTCCGATCGTGACGATACTTATGATGATCGCGATCGTCATAGAAACCACAGATGTCGCCCTACTGCAGGAAGGAAAATAGATTTACCTATTTTCAGTGGTGAAGATGCGTTTGGATGGTTAGTAAGGATGAATCGGTATTTCAGATTGAATCATACCGAGGAAGAGGATAAAATCGACGTAGCAGTGATAGCGATGGAGGACCAAGCCTTGAGCTGATTTCAGTGGTGGGAGGGACAAGCTCAACACATGAATTGGGAGTCGTTTACCAGGGATTTGACTAAACGATTCCAACCTGAGTTAGTACAAGATCCATTGGGACCACTATTCAGTTTAAAGCAAAAAGGGACCATAAAAGAGTACAAAGATAAATTTGAGGTTGCTATTGCTTCACAGAGCCATTTGTCTGAAGAGGTTTTGAAAGGAGTGTTTTTAAAAGGTCTTCAACGTGACATCAGGGCTGAATTGAAACTCTATTCTGCAAGGACTTTGGCTGAGATCATGGATAAAGCTTCACTTATTGAGAATAAGAATAATGAAGCCATAATTGTGAGGAACAAATATGAAGAGAAGAAGAAGGGGCAAGGGAAATACAGTAACCAGAGCACACAGCCAAATTGGAGTGATGGAAATAGATGGAAAAGCATGCCTAACCAATCTGCAGGTATGGTAAGAAGTACACTTGATCAGAAAATTAATAAGGAAGTGAAAGCACCAGATACGAATAGAAATGGCCCTAGATTATCCAGAACTGAATTACAAGAAAGAAGTAGGAAGGGATTATGTTTCAAATGCGGAGAAGACTGGAATAAGGGGCATGTTTGTAAGATGAAGAATTACAAAATGATACTGGTAGAGCAATCTGAGGGAGAGAATGAATCTGAAGTTGAGGTTATGGATAATGAAGAGGAAGAAGGGGATTCTCAGCAACTTAAAACTATGCAATTAACTGTTTTAAGTAAGGCTGGCATTCCTTCAATGAGAACTTTCAAGGTGAAAGGTAACCTGAATTGGATAGATGGACGGAACAGGTGAATATCTTAATTAACTGTGGTGTTACCCACAATTTCATATCCAGGGATTTAGTTGATGCATGGAAGATTCCTTTTGTCCCTATACAAGGGTTTAAGGTTCAGATTGGGAATGGTGATCTGATTCCTAATGGAGGCAGATGTGATGGACAGAAATTGGAAGTACAGCGAGCTGAAATACAACAATCTTACTACATTTTGGAACTTGGATGCACAGATGTGGTCTTGGGAATGGAGTGGTTGACAGAGTTGGGCAATGTGGAAGTTAATTTCCAGAAACAGGTATTGAATTGGAAGCAACAAGGGAGAAACTGCACCATTAAAGGAGAAACAGCCTTGAGTAATTTGGAAGTTCCATTGAAAACTATGCTACATATTTTACATGACAATGGGGATGGGTACCTACTTTGTTATGAAGGACAGAAAAATGAAGTGGGGCAGAATAAGAAGGAATTGGAGGAGTGGGAAGGTTTAATTACAGAATTTCCAGAGGTTTTCACAAACCAGTTGAAGTTTCCACCTGCCAGGAACTGTGATCATGCCATAAATATCCAGGAAGGAGCCAGCATACCCAATCTGAGGCCTTACAGGTATACCTTTGATCAGAAGAATGAAATAGAGAAAATAATCAGTGAAATGTTATCTTCTGGGATCATTAAACACAGTAACAGTCCCTATAGCAGTCCTATTTTACTGGCCAGAAAGAAAGATGGTGGTTGGAGATTTTGTGGTGATTACGGGGCTTTAAATAAGATCACAATACCTGACAAATTCCCCATACCTGTCATAGAAGAACTCCTTGATGAATTAGGTGGTGCAAGGATCTTCTCTAAATTGGACCTTAAATCTGGTTATCACCAGATTAGGATTAAGGAAGAGGACACCCATAAAACTGCTTTCAGAACACATGAAGGTCATTACGAATACCTAGTAATGCCATTTGGGTTGACTAGTGCACCTTCAACCTTCCAGTCCCTTTTGAATGAAGTTTTGAGACCTTTCCTCAGGAAATTTGCTTTGGTGTTCTTTGATGATATCCTAGTATATAGTAAAAACTGTAAAACTAGAGAAGAGCATAAAGAACACTTGAGGTTAGTTTTGGAGGCATTAAGGAGGAATGATTTGGTGGCAAATCAGAAGAAATGTTTTTTGGGCCAAGAACAATTGAATTACCTTGGCCATATCATATCAGCAGAAGGGGTGGCAGCTGACCCTAGTAAAACTGAAGCCATGAAGGAATGGGCAATTCCTAAGGACCTGAAGGAATTGAGGGGGGTTTTGGGTCTTGCTGGATATTACCGGAGATTTGTTAGAGGGTACAGTCACATTGCAGCACCCTTAACTCAGCTTTTAAAGAAAGATGGGTTTAAATGGAATGAGGAGGCTCACAGAGCTTTTGAAGAATTAAAGAAGATTATGTCAACTTTACCAGTCTTAAGAGTCCCAGATTTCAGTAAAAAAATTATTGTGGAAACTGATGCTTTAGGAAGAGGATTGGGGGCAGTTTTAATGCAAGATGGGTGTCCAATTGCTTTTATGAGCAAGGAACTATCACCTAAACATTTGAGCAAGTCAGTTTATGAGAAAGAATTGATGGCCATTGTGTTTGCCATACAAAAATGGAGACCATATTTGTTGGGGAGGAAGTTTGAGGTTCACACTGATCAAAGGAGCCTTAAATATTTGACTGAACAGACTATCATGGGGGAGTATCAACAAAAATGGACTTCTAAACTCATGGGCTACAATTTCACTATTAAATACAAGCCTGGCTGTGAGAATAAAGTTGCAGATGCTTTGTCAAGGAAGGCCAGTTTCTCAGCATTGTCTATAGTGAATTGTCAAGAGTGGGATGGATTAGAAGAAGAATTGTTGACAGACCCCAAATGTTTTGACACTATTCAGAGAATCGTCAGTTATTCGGATCACATGGCTAAGTTCAAATTGAAAAATGGGCTGTTGTACTACAAAGGAAGGTTGATGATTCCTCAGAATTCTCCCAGGATAAATAGAATCCTTAAAGAGTATCATGATTCAGCAACTGGTGGACACTCAGGGAATTTCAGAACCATGAAAAGAATATCTACTCTATTTTACTGGGTAGGAATGAGGAAAGATATTCAACAGTATGTGCTAAACTGTGAAGTTTGTCAGAGGAATAAATATCAGGCATTGAAGCCTGCAGGTTTACTGCAGCCTTTGCCCATTCCAGAGCAGATATGGACTGACATTAGCATGGATTTCATTGGAGGACTACCCAAAGCTCAAGGAAAGGACACTGTGTTGGTGGTGGTGGATAGGTTGACAAAATTTGCACACTTCATACCTCTATCCCATCCTTACAATGCAAAAGGAGTGGCTGAAGTGTTTATCAAGGAAGTGGTGAGACTCCATGGATTCCCAAAATCTATAGTGAGTGACAGAGACAGCATCTTCCTGAGTTCATTTTGGTCAGAATTATTCAGGTTGGCTGGGACACAACTGAAATATAGCACAACTTATCATCCTCAGTCTGATGGGCAAACTGAAGTTGTCAACAGGTGCTTGGAGACCTATTTGAGATGTCTCACTGGGAAGAAACCAAGAGAATGGATTAAATGGCTACCATGGGCTGAATATTGGTATAATACCAATTATGATATATCTTTAAAACAGACTCCTTATCAGGCTTTATATGGGCAAGAGTCCCTTGCAGTAGTAAAAGGGGATGTGACTCTGACTGCTAATGATGAGGTGGCAAGATTAACTGCAGAGAGGAATGGAATGTTAGCTGAAATAAAGGAACATCTGGCCATTGCTCAAAACAAGATGAAACAGCAAGTTGAAAAACACAGGAGAGAAATGAAGGTGGAAGTGGGTGACAGGGTATTTCTGAAGATTCAGCCCTACAAACTGCAAAGTTTGGCAAGGAGGACCAATCAGAAACTGAGTCCTAGATTTTATGGACCCTTTGAAGTTGTGGAGAAGATAAATGATGTAGCTTTTAAGCTAAAATTACCAGATCAGTGTTTGGTGCACCCTGTTTTCCATATCTCTTTACTCAAGAAAGCTTTAAGCTCCAACACTTCCTGCCAACCTCTACCCCAGTGTTTAAATGAGAATTGGGAACTCCAGGTGATTCCTGAAAAGTGGTTGATATAAGGAAGGGCCAGGGGGGTGAAACAGAAGTATTGATCCAGTGGAAAGATCTTCCGGACTTTGAAAATTCTTGGGAGAATGTAGAGGTGATGAAGACACAATTCCCAGACTTTAAGCTTGAGGACAAGCTTATTCTTCAGCCGGGGAGTATTGATAGAGACTCGACTATTAATATTAATAATAGATTTGGCCAAGTTTATTCTAGAAGAAAGTAGTAGTTAGTTATTATTAGTGTTGTCCGTTCTTAATAATAACTACCTTCAGCTGTGACTGAAAGGATATAAATAGAATAAACTTAGACGGGAGGGGCAGGCTGTTTGGATGCTTTGGCTTTGGGACTGGGAAGATTAGAGAATAGTTCTCCTCTTTGGGACTGGAATGTACGGTATACCTCCATTAATGAAATTTACTGTTTTCTGAAGCTAGCTTTACTGTTCATTCTTCTGGTATTACTGCGCTACTCTATCAGCATAACAGTCCAGACATACATTTGGACTTGATACCACTTGCGCCAGGTAAAACAGCTGTTGGGTGCAGGTCGATTTACACTAAGAAGGTTGGACAAGATTGTAAGATTGATCTTCTTGAAGATCAGTTGATATTCATGCAGTTTACAGGAGATTATATATATTTATTTAAATACAATAGGTTTTCCTGTAATCTATTTCAAGAAGTTTTCTGAACAATTAATTTATTGACTAGTGAGTGGTTGAGATTCAACATATCGGGAACCTAGGTCAAAATGGTTTTTTAAAAGAGAAGTTATTTTCTCAACATACATCTAGGTTGAAAGATTAAATCCCAAGTCTCTGTCTCCCACGTCCTAGTCATCATCATCATCATTACCCTAGTGCCGCAAAGACTCTCACCCACGGTGGGGTAAGGGGGGTCGGATGTACGCAGCCTTACCCCTGTGGCACAGAAAGACTGTATCTGGATGACCCATAGTGAAAATCGTAGGTGCTATTTCATAACAAAGAAACACAAACAGTTTAGTGAGTCATTTTGCTTGATCTCATCATATTCCCAAGCCAAAAAATAGTGAGCCTTTGGCTCCATTGCAAATGATGAAAAATGTCTCCCACATCCTAGTGATGCACCAAAAAAGAAGACTCATTTGAGTCATTTCAGAGCTTGTGATTTCAAAAGAATATGCATTTCTACTTTCCAAATGCCAAGTCCAAAAGGTAGTTTTCAGTAATTATTTAAGTTTGTTAATAAAACTGTCCAAAATTTTAAAAAGGTAGCATTCCGTAATTAGTTATGTTTCATTCAATAAAAGTTACTCCGTATCAAATTGTCCAACCTATGTGAAACTGCAGAGACCTATGAGTGTAGAAATACTTACGAGATGTGAACAGAATATTCTATACCCAGGTGTAATACATTTGCTCGAACAGGGGGGTTTGCATCCTACAGATTAAAAAGAAAAGCCACCCCCTTCAACTATTGGGACTTCGGAAGCAATTGAGATATAAGACAGTTAAATTTGCTACCTTCAGCACAGGAGTGACAATCCCATCCTTGAGAGAGAACAGATCCGAAAGGGACAGTGATTGAGAAGTTTCTCCATGTTTAAGGAACCCAGCACCATGCTCCTCCAAATCCCTTTCCATCTTATCATACAGCCTCAACCTCTTCTCAGAATACGAGATAGACCATTCTGTAGCCATTTGAGTGCCCATCATTCAAGTGTCTAGTGAAGCTTTAATTGCAAGACTCGCACTATTGTTGAGTAGATACTTTTAAGTAAAAGAACGAAGGAAAAACACAGGATTTATAAGCAGAAACGCAATCCAAAACCATTTGGGCAATTAATTTTCTCAATATAAAAAGGGGCAGGAAAATACTGGTTCAAATTGGGTTTAATTTCAAAGCAAAGTGAATTACACATTGGTTTGAGATTCACAATACAAATTTAATACGAAGCATGTAGTACTAAAAATAGTAGTAGATAAACTGGGTTACATATATACCTGATGAATTGCGAAGGGCTATGTTGAAAAGAGCATAGAAGGTAAGAGCACAGAGGAACCAGATAAAAATTGACGCTTTGGATATGAAGCACTCGTTCCCAATCCGAGCCATGTTGGTTACGGGTTGTACAACGCAATTCTTAGAGAAATTTCAGAACTTTTCATTTCCTATTGGAAAGAGACAGGTCTCAGTCTGGAGCACCAACTCCTGTGACTGACTTTTAATGCGACCTGGAATTTGTAGTATGGTTCCGACTGAAAATGGTGAATTGTGAATACCAAAATAAACTCCAACCCTCAACTCAGACAGGTTTTAAAAGTTACTCCTCGGATCTTACTGGAATTTATAGTTAAAAAATGAGTTTAATACACCAAATCCCCCTTGTGATATGGAAATTCGGAGCATTAGTCTCCTGTATTTTAAAAAATGCGTCAAACACCCTTGTGTTTTAGTTAATTATGTGCAAAATCCCTGCTATGAACAAATTCAATTGTCAAATATAAGAAAAATGATTAACATTTTTGTATGATTTAGAGATTTTGACATATTTACTTGCATATTCAATTAAAATATTAGGAAATGTGATCTCAAAATCATTAAATTTAGCCATAAAAGGGGTTCTGTGCATGATTAATTAAAACACAGAAGGGTTTGACGCATTTTTCAAATCACATGAGGCTAATGCGCTGAATTTCTATATCACGAGGGGATTTAATTTGGTGCATTAAACCCTGTTAAAAAATACTCGAATTAATACACAAAATAATCGGATTGATAAAAGTAATCGTATACTAAAAATTAGCTTGAAGTTTTTCAATCCTGCGCTTAATACCACCAACCCAATCATACCACATTAAAATATTAAATTTAAAGTGGCATAAAATAGTACAAATAATTAATTAGTTCCAAACAAAAAAAGGATGGAACAGCTATAATGGGAAAGGGAGAAACCAATTGGAGGAAAAACGTTGAATAACTAATATTTGACATTATGGAGACTTCACACATGAAGATATTTAATTAGTTTGGAGATGAAATGGTTAATTGAAAAGTATAGAGAAAAGTAAGAGAAAAAATGTAAAAAGCATATTCTTAAAATTTATCATGTTACTCTTATTCTCATTTTTATCGTTTACAACTTATTCTTATTTTATTCAGACCAGATCGGACAAAAAATCAAACTAGGTTAGACCAAAACATTCAAACCAGATCAGATTAAATCAGAAAATATAGATCAGACCAGAAACACTCAGATGAACACTGGAAAATTGATCGTCTTAATTCAACTAAAAGCCAATTGTTTTGAAGTTTATTTAAAAATTTATTATTTCAACTTTATAATATTTCATTTTATAATATTTCAAATTGGGGCGCTACCGGGGCATTGCCCAGGGCTTTATACTAGAATATTTATTATTAAGAGTTGTCAAAATACAAAGTATTCCTAAATAGATGTTAGGGCATAATCCTAAATTAGATATATTATGACAGTCGTCTCTGAGTTATCTTACAAATTTACTTTTTCGTCTATCCCAAAATAATTTTTCATTTTTCTTTTTGGCAAAAAATATATGGTTCACATCAATCCTTACAAATTCTTACACATTTCTTTCTTCTCTTTGCAACTATCTACCATACAACACACAATATCTTAATCCTTGTGTCAAATATGTTTTGGAAGATAATTTAGGGACGGAGGGATTAGATAATTTTGATAGTATTGAACTTTTGATTTAGATGGTGTTTGAAATTGATCCTGTTTCTATTTCTTTTTTAAAAGCGGAAGCAAAATCAGAATCAATTTTTCAGAAAACTGATGTCCCTCAAATTCTAAAAAACTGCTTCTATGAGCAATTTGGAGCACCTAGAAATACTTCTGATTTTCACACAAACACTCAAATATCTGCTTTTGCTCCCTAAATGAGTAGATCCAAACACCCTCTTATTGAAAGTAGCGTAATAGTCCATACGTATTTAAAAATTTGTTAAATGTGCCTTTGGCACAATATTTAATGAGGAAAATATCAGGGTAATGAATAGTGTAGGAAAAAGTAGGAGATTGGTGTAAAAGTATGAAAGAGAATATAAAAATTAGAAAAGTAGGAGTAATTAAGTATTTTTAAAGGAAAAACTTATCAAGAAGTGAAAGTGTAGCAAATTTTTAAATACATTCCAAGTGAAAGTGAATCAAATTATTAAATGCATGTGACAGTACATGTGATTGATATATACTATTCCTGACCATGGAATATCCGTGACCGGGGATGTCTGAGACTGTATTTCTTTTATTGGGCCTAACCCATTAGATTAGTTCTGGATAATGGAATTGTCAAAGTCCATGAGGTCTTTTCTAAATATACTAGTACATATCATTAATGGCGTTCAGAGACCATCTGGAGTCCATATGTCAGTTTCGACTAGCAATGACCTAGGGCTTACCTTTAAAGATTACATATTCATGGGTCGTCTTCCAAAGTTGTCTGTGAAACACAAACTCCGCTTACGATGAGCTTTCACAGAGATGGCCTATTAATGACCGCTTGGGCTCTTAATACCATTCTCGGCCACGATCGAAAGCAGCCGATGGTCCCATTGTTGTTGCCTGACGTGCACTTGTCGCGAGGTGCACTCAAAATAAATACAATACAACGAATATACGTAGTATAACGAAGTAAGGTTCGATTCCACAGGGAAAGGAATATTTATCTTTTCTAATAACAGTAACGAAAGGGAGGTTTTGAGTTTGATTTGATTTAATTTAATTAACACTAAGATGAACAACTTATATGAGTTTAAATAATAGAGATGCGGACTTGGTTTTGCTTTTATCCACTTAATGAAATGTTCGTCGATCCCGGTTATATCTTTAACTATTGTTGAGGGTAAGTCCCGTAGATCCGAAAGCCCAACATGAACTTTGGATATATCAGGAATGGTACAGAATCAATATGTATAATCAAATATAAAATATGAACTCACTAATACTCAAAAGCCCACTTGTATTAATTAACCAGTCTGATTACAAGGAAATTCCCGATCGGTAGGTCGGAATAATGCTTTAATACAAGAAATAAGAGCAATAATGTTATTCTAGAGCCTGAGTATTGAAATGCTAACTCTTACAATGATTTTAAACCTTCTATTTATACTAATGGAGAGCATGGGCTGCTCTATGCTGATTGACTGTTGTTCCACCGACTTGGTCACCCATGTTTCCACTTGCTGATGTCACAATCTGGCATTAATTGCACCTGGCCACTTGCCGGTTGTCCGTTGCTCGAACGGGGTGTTGGACTATGCTGAGGACGCTGTCAAATTGGCCCAAGTATGATATATAGTCCGAACTCCGTTCGGTATATCTTCTTACTGGGCCAACCCTTACCTGGGCCGAATCTCGTTCGGCATGAATTCTTCACTGGATCTACTCATCATAGAGTGATGGGCTTGTTGTTTGGGCCGGATATCCTGGGCCTTCTTGATCCGGGTATTGGGCCTCTGGATCAATATCCCAACACAAGTCCCCCACTTCTGATGTCTCGAATGACAGTGAGTGCATTAGGAAGTATGAACACCAATGTTGCAAATTGCCGAATGGGGATCGGGGAACAGAAGTAGTCAGTTCCCCATGCTGTGATTTGATGGCCGTCATTTCATTTCCCCATATTTATCATGATAACCGTCGTTTAGTCTTTTCATTAGACACGCGTTTAGCTTGAATGCTCCTAGTGACGTGTCGCTCCCTGATTGGTTCTTGACACGGCGGTTCAAATGCTATAAATTAGCCTTTAACTTCTCAAATCCGGGTTTCGATTATGCAATTCTCTTCGCCTTGCCGTTTTCTGAAATTTCTTCCAGCTTTCGTCGCTCAGGTACTCTCCCTCCCTTGCTTTCTCGCCTCATCCCTGACTCGGTCGAGATGAATTCCCAACGGTGTTCTGATTCGGAAATGGATTCTCAAGGGGAGGACCGTGATGTGGAGATTATCACCATCCCTTTTGATGAAGGTTCCAAGGCAGCGACGGTGGAGGTTAGGGCGGAGACGGGTGACTCCTCCGGCAGCTCTTCTTCCTCCAGTGAAGATTCCGACGATATCAAGTCCGAGGATGAATTAATTTCCATGGCGGCCGAACGTCCCAACGATTTCCCTCGCCATACCCTTGACCTAAAACTGATTAGGGAGAGGCGGCAAAAACTGACCTCCCACAATAGGAGCGAAATTCCGGCCCTTATCCCAGACTCAGTGAATTTCCGACTGCAAGCTGGGCTTCACCCAATGCGTCATAGGCCCGGGATGGTTGTAGTTCATTTTGATTCAATTAGGGCCGGCCTTAGGTTTCCGCTACATTCTTTTTTCATTTCATTTTTTAATTTCTATGAAATTGTACCGGCCCAAATTATGCCGAATTCCTATCGGGCAATGTCGGGTTTTATTTGCCGTTGTAAAGATGCCGGTGCCCGACCAACCTTAGATCTCTTTCATCAATTTTTTAAGGTAGCCCCTCAACAAACCCACGGCTATCTGGCCACTAGTGCCCGAACGGGACATATTCTGTTCATGGGCAATCCAACTTCAATCAAGGGGTGGAAAGACCGGTTTTTCTTCGTGTCTGTCCCGGACGGCCTAGTTCCCCGCAAATTGAATGCCTTCCCCCGCAAGACTCCTGATCCAGTCCTTACTGAAGAAATTTACAAGGACGTGCTTGCTGTGGAGAAAGATAAATGCATGGACATCATGAGTTATCTGACTCCCGATCGGCTAGTTGAAGCCGGGATAGGTACTGTCCGTTCTCTTGGGTTTACTTGTTTTGAGAAATCAAGTGCCATGGTCCGGGCGGTCCTTCCCATGCGAGAAACATTCTCTTTTTATTTTTTCTAGTTTCTCACACGCTAAGGCCGCTCGGTACTAACATTTTCCTTAGTCATTTTTCAGCACCAAATCCAGATCTACCCATGGATAATAGCAGAGTTCTGGCAGCTGGTGGGGTTGGTAAACGGAAAAAGGCCAGGAAGAACCCCCAACCTATTCCCTCTACTGTTACTGCTCAGGATGTTGGTCTTCTCAACCAGTTCCAGAGCCACAGCCAAATACAGCAGGTCCATCAGGACCAATTCGATGCCATGTTGGTCGATGATCGGTTTGGTTCTGATCAACTGCAACAATTTCCCGAACACTTTCAAGCTGCTCAAGAAACCGGCCAGGGTGCGGGTGATATACCCACCGTCCAGCTGTCTGGCCAGGTTGACCGGATCTCACTGGCGGATCCGGTTCATGATGTTGTAGAAAGAGGTGGCTGCTCAGCAAGCCAGATT